TGGTTGTTAGCTACCAAGTAGGTCTTAGGAACTAACCAACATCCTCTGCAAGAGCAGCCAGTGCTCTTAATTGCTGAGTCATCTCTTATATGTATATATATACATATATATATGTGTATATATAAAAGGTTTTGATGAGCCAGTTTCCTGCCCTGCATCCTATGGCCAAGAGGGTGGGAAAGAGTATTCTGAAATCTCTGGGGCCCTCCATCCTTCACCAGAAGGGCCACTAATGTGCCAAGTTTGTGGGTGTCAAGCTCAAATATGCCTCCTCCTGGCTAGGGCCCCCCACTTCAAGGACCCACTGGCTGCTCATAACAATAACAAGATCAACAGGTGTCTGGGTGGCCTAAGGGGGGTGGCTGGGACCCCCCCCAAAGCAGGGAGCCTGGAGTTCACACCCACCTTGGGCTCTTTCTTGAGGCGCAGCTGGTGGCCCCAGTGGGGAGTCAGGGACTGCTTGGCCACACCACGGTGCCGCAGATGGAAAAACTGGTCGTCAGGGAAGATCTGCAAATTTGAGGGACAGTGGCACTGCTGGGACCTGGCTCCTTTTGATGGGAGTCCCCAGAGATGGGGTTCAGATCCCTTGGCTTTAGGGTGAGAGCCTTCAGACTAGATGTGGGAGCCCCAGAATCTCAAGTTAACCATGCTAGTGGGTAGACAGAGGTGCTTTTGATATCTGGAGCCCTTTCCCAACTATCCAGGCCTGGGGTCACCCAGTGCCCGCCCCCAGGTCCCTTCCCTCCATTCATCTAGGTCTCACCCACCTGTCCCAGGTTGACGAAGCCAAATTTACGTGACAGGCGCTCGGCCTCCTGGTAACCTTGGGTCATCCGCACGGCCCAGCTGCTGACATAGATGGGGGCCAGGGCAGAGGCCCAGCCTACAACCAGGGAGCCCAGGAAGGCCAAGGCCAAGGCCAGGCTCAGCCTGAGCCCAGTCGGGGCCAGCAGCATCGCGGGGGGCGGGGCTGGTACCGGGCCTCAGGAAGACACCATAGCAACAAGGAGCCCTTCCACTCCCAAGGGGCCTTGCGGTTCCCTTATTCCCCACCCGGGGGGGTGGACAGGTCCCACGCAGGGAGGGAGCCCCAATCCCCACTGTCTTAAGCTCCCTGGAGCCTCAGTTTTCCTATTTATACAGGGACACTCGTCTATCTGACACGCTCAAAGTCACACAAAGTCACAGGGAAGACCTTTCACCTTTTATTCAGCCCCGCCCACTTTCTTATACGCCCAGCCCTCAAGAATCAGCCTCCCCGCCTCTTTCTCCAATCAATATCCTTCTTTCCCGACATGTCCCTTCTCCTTTATGATCAGCCCCGCCCCCTGCGGTCCCTCCAATCGGCACTAGCTCAACTCAGGTCCCGCCCACTTCTTTAGTCTGCCCACTCACCTCTCCCAGCTCCGTCAATAATACTTCGCTTTGTCCAATCAGATACGCGCCCCTCCTTCGGCCAATCAGCGTGCGTGTACACGTGGAGCCCCTCCCCCTCAGCCTTGTGGTGCCTCTGGGGCTGCGGGCCCAGGCCAGAGGGCAATGAGGCGGGGGAGACTAGGCAGGTCCCACCTCCTTTATCCGTACTGCCCTCCCATTGGCCCGAGCGGGCGGCCAGGGGAGGAGCCATCGGCGGGGGTGGAGCCAGCGTGCGAAGCTAGGGCTGAGCGCTCCAAGCCCGGCCACTGCGGGCGCCGGGCAAGCACCAGATCCCGGTCCCGGGCCCGCCGTTCCCATGGACGCTCTGCGCCTGCGCTTCGAGCAGTTTCTGGAACAGAAGAACGTGGCTACAGACGCTCTCAGGGCGCTCGAAGCCAGAACCGGCGTGGAGAAGCGCTATCTGGCCACGGGTGAGCCTGACAGGGGGCGCAGGGCCGGGGTACGGACGGGATCCGTGGGTTCTGGGGTTCTTCGACCCCCTTAGTGGGTCCCATCTCGGGAAGGGGAGCAGGGCCCGGGCCCCACGCGATCCGAGGGTCGTGCGGGTATCCGAGTCCCCGACCGGATTTGAGGTTCCCATCCGATATGGAGTGCAGGGCTGGGGTCTCCAACAGGCTCTAGAGATTCTGGGGACCCAGACCTGGCTCCAGGATCCCATTCTGGGAAAGGGTGCTGGGCCTGGGTCCTTGAGAGGTACCTGCAGACCCTGAGCACCCAGACCTGGAAGGGGTGCACAGCCCAGGTCCCCAACAGGCACCAGAGGTTCTGGGGACCCAAACCTGGCTGCGAGGTCCCATCCCAGGAGTACAGGGCCCCTTTCCCCAAGGGGCACACAACTGGAGTGCCCCCAGGGAACCCAACCTGGTTTCAGGGTTCCATTCTGGGAAAAAAGCCCATGGCCCAGGTGCCTGGAGGCAATGTGAGGCCCTGGGGACCCAGACCTGGCTCCTCAGTTGCTAGCCTGGGAATGAGCATATGGCCCAGGTCCCCAACTGGCACTGTGATGTCCTGGGGTCCCATCCAGTGAAGGGGCACACATCCATTCCCCTGCCAAGACATCTGAACCCTGATGTAACCGGTCTTGGACTGACCTGTCAACCCTCCTGTAATCTTAGAAAACAGCCATGCTGGGGTTCTAGGGTTTTGCAATACCCCTGTGCGGCCTACCTCCTCCTCGGGTCCTGGCCACTTGTCAGCCTCTAAGTCTAGGTTTTCCCCCAAAGTCCGGTTTTCCCAGTGGCCCCAACTGGCCCGTTGAGTGGGTGGAAGAGCAGATGACAGGTCTCCTTGTCAGTCTCCTGTGTGTCCCAACCCCCTCCCCACATGCACCCCTGCCTCAGAGAGAATGGCAAAACATCTGCATGACTTGAGGTCCAGGCTGGGAGATGACTGGCCCAGCACCCCAACACTTTGCCCCAAGGCAATAAATAGCTTTGGGTCAATATTTGTTGAGCTTGGGGTAGTGGCTGGGATAGGGAGCCCCTGTAAAGGGACAATCCAAACACCCCATTTGTAGTTCTGAGTCCTTCTCCGGTGACAAGGATGAACTCCAGTGCATCTCTCAAAAATGATTCTGTGTTCCCCATTTTTGTTTCTTTGAAGCCCACAGCCTTGTGCTGAACCCTCATCCCTGCATGAATGACAGCACTGGAGGCTGTGTGTGAGGACTGGGTCTAGAGCCTGGAATCCCTTCCAGAATGGACAGTCAGAGTTCCTGTTCCACCAGCTGGAGGGTGGGTTCCCATGCCGCATTTTTTGGGGGGGAAGGATTCTAAAATCCATGTCTCCCCACCATGACTCAGCACCCCAAATCAGCTCATTGCCCCATGTGCCTGCCCTACACACAGCCTGAGACCTTTGCTCCCCACTTTCCACATCACTGGGGGAGATTACATCACAGTGCCAGGAGGGATTGGCAGGGAGGGCATCAGCTTGGGTTGTCACCAGGATGAAAGCTGAAGCACAGGTTACAGGGGCTGTGTTGGGAGACTATCCACCCCCTCTACATCTCATCCCATCTGTTGCTGGGCCTCCCTTCCCCACAACCTTGAAGTTCAAGATCATCCCCCTGTTGCTGAGACTGCAGTTAAAGGAATTATTGACATGGGTGCCCTGGGGGAGCCCCCCTCCATCAGCAATGCCTGAGAAGGGGGGAACCCCCACCCTTCAGGCCACTTAATCTCAGTTGAAGGGACTCCTGCCCCAAATGGTCACCCTATGCTCCCAGGTACTAAAAAAGGTGACTGAGACCCAGCTCAGAGATAAAAAGATCACTCCAGCCTCCTGGGGCCAGCTGGGGGCCCCCTCATGCTTGCAACTTTGTGGCCCCAGGGATAAGGACAATAGCAGGTGGAGGGATGGGCCAGCAGGACTCTGACCTTGGACATAGAGCATATGTCCCCACAGATAACAATCTGGGGGTGGGGATAGAGGAAGGTTCCAGGTCCCAGCTGCCCCAAGGGCAAAGGTTCCTCACACCTCCCCCTTTCCCCCAGGCTCTGACCTTTCCAGGAGTCAGATAAGGCCCTGGGTCCTGATATACTTCCCGAATACTACAGAGTCTGGTGGCAGTTAAACCCCTGCACCCGGGTTTTCTCCTTTCTGCCGCCTGTTGCTGCCCCTGTGTTAATGGTCAGAAGACTGTTCAGGGGAGCTAAGCCAGGGCTATCCCAGGGTGTAGGGCCTGAGGACACCCCCACTTTACACATGGACAGCCAACCCTAGGCTATATGCAAGGAACCTAGGAGCCCTTGGCTTTAGAGCTTTTTTGTTTTTTGTAGAGTGAGTGTGTGTGTGTGTGTGTGTGTGTGTCTGTAGGCCAGAGATCAATATAGAGTGTCTTCCTAAGCTCTGTACCTTGCTTATTTATTTTAACATTTATTTGGGTGGGGGGCACCATGAAGAGTCCAGAGGACCCAGAGATTGAACTCAAGTTGTCAGGCTTGGATGCAAGCCTGTCTACCTGCTGAGCCATCTCACTGGCCCTCTCCGCCTTATTTCTCATCCTCCACCTGATTTTTTATTTACTTATTTTTAATAAGTTATTGTGTATAAGTGCTATTGCCTGCAGGTATGTAAGTTTACCCATGCTGTGTAATGCCTGCAGAGGACAGAAGAGGGCACGGGATCCCCTGAAACTGGAGTTACAGATAGTTGTGAGCTGCCTTGTGGGTACTAGGATTCAAACCTGGGTCCTCCACAAGAGCAGCCAGTGCTCTTAACCTCTGAGCCGTCACTCCAGCCCCTCTTTATTTATTTTTGAAATGGGGTCTCTGTGTAGCCCCAGCTGGCCTAGAACTTGCTATGTAGACAAGGCTGGCCTCAATCTCCCAAAGATCACCTGCCTCTGCCTCCTGAGTGTTGGGATTAAAGGTGTGCTAAGCCTGGCTTCCAACTTATGTTTTGAATCTGGAGCTCAGCAGTTTGGCTAGATTGACTATCCAATGAGGTCTTCACCACCATCCTCCCCAAGTACTGGGGTTACAAAAACACACCACTAGCTGGGCGTGTTGGTGCATGCCTTTAATCTTAGTACTTGGGAGGCAGAGGCCAACCTGGTCTACATTGTGAGTTCCAGGCCAGCTGGGGCTACAGGGAGACCCTGTCTCAAAAAGACAAAAAAAAAAAAAAAAAAAAAAAACAAAAAAAAAAACACACCACTAAGTTTGGGTTTTACATGGGTGCTGGAGATCCAAAATCAAGTCCTTACACTTACACAGTAAGCAATTTACCGACTGAGCCATCAGCCCAGTCTGGTTTTGTTTCTTTGTTGTGAGACCTGGACTCAAGTAGCCTAGGCTGGCCTTGAACTCTTATAGCCAAGGATGCCCTTGAACCTCCTGATCATCCTGCCTCCATCTCCCAAGAGATGGGATGATAGCAGCATGCCACCACGCCTCATTTACCTGGTGCTGGGGAATCAAACTAGCAAAAGGGCCTCCTGTATGCTAGGTAAACACCTTAATAAATGACCTACAAGAACTCTACCCACAGAGCTATAATTTATGCACCCTAACCCACTGAGCTACAAGCACTCTACCTACTGAGTTATAAGCACTCTACCCACTGAGCTACAAACACTCAATCCACTGAGCCCAAGCCCTAAAAGCTAGTATTTGATATCTTCCTTTAAGATAGGTGCCTGGAGCCAGGCTTGGTGTGCACCTTTAATCCCAGCATTCGGAGGCAAAGGCAGGTAGATTTCTGTGAGATTGAGGCTAGCCTGGTATCTATAGGGAGTTCTAGGACAGCTGTGGCTACAGAGACCCTTTTTCAAAAAACGACAAAAAAAAAAAAAAAAAAAAAAAAAAGATAGGCTCCTGGATCCAGGATTGGTGCACGCCTTTAATCCCAGCATTTGGGATGCAGAGGCAGGGGAATCTCTGTGAGATCAAGACCAGCCTGGTCTACCTATTAAGACTCTGTCTCAAAACAAAAAGACTGAGCTCTAGCCCTAGCTCTTCTCCACCTGGTTGAGGTTGCTGTTTGTTCTTGGGGTCTCCCACCCCATGAGGGAGACAGAAGAGATGAGTCTCCTGAGGACAGGAAACAACAGCAGGTTCCCAGAGTGTCACCTGGTAAGTGGTGCAGGTTGCCCCTTCAGAGGCCGGTACTCTGACCACCACCTGTGTTCTCCTGCAGGAGTCCTCACTCTGCTAAGCCTATATCTTCTATTCGGCTACGGGGCATCTCTGCTGTGCAATGTCATCGGATTTGTATACCCCGCGTATGCTTCGTGAGTGTGAGGGGCTGCCTATGGGTGGGAAGGTTCAGTGGGAGGGCTCCCAGGCATTGGCCTTGACCAGCTTGCACACGTGTTCCCATCCCCACAGAGTCAAAGCCATCGAGAGCGCAAACAAGGAGGACGACACTGTGTGGCTGACCTACTGGGTGGTGTACACCCTATTTGGTCTAGCCGAGTTCTTCAGCGATCTACTCCTGTTCTGGTTCCCTTTCTACTACGTGGGCAAGGTGGGCAGGCTAGCCCAGCCCCAGTGGAGGCGGGACAGGAGGGTGGCCCTATGTGTCATCATCTGTACTTCACCATGCTGTCTCCCCATAGTGCACCTTCCTGTTATTCTGCATGACACCAGGACCCTGGAACGGGGCACTAATACTGTACCATCGCATCGTGCGGCCACTCTTTCTAAAACACCACACATCTCTCGACAGCGCCGTGAGCCAGCTCAGCGGAAGAGCACTGGACGCAGCAGCTGGGATGGCCAGGGACGGTGGGTACCTGGTGATGGCTCCTGGGCACTATCTGGCTCCTGGGCTTGTATTTTCTTTAGTTGTTTTTTTTTTTTCAATTTTGAGACAGGGTCTCCCTGTAATCCAGGCTGGCATGGAGCCCAGGTTGGCCTTGATCTCACAGAGAACCACTGGCCTCTGCTGGGATTAAAGGTGTGTGTCACCACACTTGGCTAGTTTTTTTCTTTTTTTTTTTTTCTTTTTGAGACAGGGTCTCCCTGTAGCTCCAGCTGTCCCGGAACTCACTATGTAGACCAGGCTGGCCTTGAACTCACAAAGATCTGCCTGCCTCTGCCTCCCAAGTGCTGGAATTAAAGGCGTGCACCACCACGCCTGGCTTAATTTACTTATTTTTATGGATATGTATAAGTGTTTTACCTGCAAGTATGTAAGTGTACCTGTGTCATAAAATACCCATGGAGGCCAGAAGAGGGGTTGGATTTCCTGGAACTAGAGTTAGAGACAGTTGTTAGCTGCCCATGTGGGTGCTGGGAACTGAACCCAGGTCCCTGCAAGAACAACCAGCGCTCTTAACTGCTGAACCCGCTCTCCAGTCCCCTAGATTTTTTGAGACAGGGTCTTATGTAGCTCAGGCTAGCCTCCAACTCCCTATGTAGATGAGGTTGACTCTCCTGATCCATCCTGCCCCCACCTCCCGAGTGCTGCACTGACAGACATGCACTGCCATGCTTCAGCTGGCTCCTGGGTCTCTGCCTGACCCTCTGTCCTTCTGTCTCCATTTACCTGTCTGTCTTTCTGTCCCATCCCCCACTCTCTCAGGCATCTTAACACTGGCTACACCCTGTCTTGCATCCTAATGGCCCCTGTGGCCGTGCTCGCCCCTCTTACTGTCCGCCTCTCTCTCTTCCTGGCTGTCGGGGACCCAGTGCTGCAGGCCCTAGTGCAGGGCCAGGCTTTCGTCACCCCAGCATCGATGGTGGAGCCTCTGGTCATTCTGGAATTGGATTGTATGTAATGCTTCAGGGGTGGGGTGCAGGGTTGTGTGTGCTGAGTGTGTGGATGCCCTGTGTATTCTGTGTATATGTGTGTACTATCCTGTGTATATGGGAGTGTGTGTGTACATGAGTGTGTGCATGGATGCTCTCCTGGGTACTGGGTATGCATGTGTATAACTGTACCAGTGCATGTGTGCATACATGTGTCTGTGAACCGTGTACACAGCAATTTGCAGAGGGTGACCACATTGTCCTTGGAGCTGGCTGACCCTTTGCTCTTAGCAAGGGCTGAGCCAGTCTCCCCAGCAGCTCAGCAGAGCCAGGGGTGGCAGGAAGATCCCCAGCCAGCCTCACCACTGTTCCCTCTCTCTCCACAGCCAAGCTGAGCCCAAGTCTTCAGGCGAAGCTCAAGTAAAGATTCCACCTGTCCAGTGCAGCGGCAAAGACAAAGAGCCCCTGGCCAGCAACAAGGGACTTGGGGCTGACCCCCATGCCTCAGACTCATCCTCTGACTCCCAGACAGAGACCCGATCCCGAAGAACTTCTAGCCAGGGCAGGTTTACTGGGAGTCCCTCGCAGCCCACATCTGGCCAGTCCCCATCCCCGACCACATCTGCATCCCGGGGTCAGCTGGCCAAGGGCTCTGCCAGGGGCTCCCAGATCCCCAGCAAGTCTCAGGGCCAGCACCGCAGCCGGGGCAGCATGTCCTCCCAGCCAGCACAGCGAGCCCAGCTTCCCAACACATCTTTGGGACCCTCACAGCAGGCCCCTCGCTCTTCAGGTACCTCCCAGGCAACAGACAAATCCTCAGCACCCTCTCCGACAGTGGGCCATGGCTCAATACCCTCCCAGCAGACGTTGATACAGGCCCAGCCAGCTGGCCAAGCCTCAGCACCTGCATCTACACCCATGTCCACACAGCGTCTCAGCATGTCTACCCAGGTCTCGCCCAGGACCCAGTCTCGTAGTGCCACCCCAAAGCCCACCCAGCCTGCCAGCAAGACCCCTGGAGAGCCAGGAGATGCAGCCCCCAAAAGCAAGCAGACCCAAAAATTCCAGGCCACACAAGTCTCTGGCAGCTGCTTGGTCCCTGAGCTGATTGTCCCCTTTCGCTCTGAGTCGTCTCTAGAATACATGTCAGATTCTACCACGGAAATCACTTGCAACTGGCCAGGTTATAGTCACCAGCTCTCTTGTCCCCACTATTGCTGGCTCCTGCAGCATCTGGCATACTAAAACCACACCTGGACACTGCCAGCCATGGGATCACAGGAGATACCTGTCCATAGGAACCACATAAAACACCAGCCCCCATGGGAGCCACGCAGAGCACCTGCCTGCCACAGAGCTGCTTGAGATACCTGCTGTCCTTGGAAGCTGAGAAAGACGCTTACCTGCCACAGAGCCACGCAAGACACCTGTCCACAAGAGCAATACAAAATACCTGCCTGTCGTAGAGCCAAGTAAAACACCTGCGCATAGGAGCCACACAAGATGTCTGCCTGCCATGGAGCCACACGAGATGCCTGATGTCTACAGGAGCCACTCAAAACACCTGCCTGCCATGGAGCCATACAAAACACCTGCCCTTGTGACATACATGCAAGACACAGCATCACAGAAACATTGGTCCACAAGAATAAAGGAAAATAACTGCCTGCCATGGAACCATACCAAATACCTGCCACAGTAGCACATGGAACACCTACCTGAGGGACCCCACATTCAAAACCCACTCATGTGATCCCTTGAGAAAGCCCACCACACAAAACACATCCAGCAGGGTGCCACATGAAACACCTTTGGAAGTCCCCTCATGGAACAACCATCCACTGAGGCATAAAATAAAATAACCCGCTCAGGCTCACCTGCCTGTCTCATCCAGTCTCCTGGGGCCTGGTGAGGGTGTCAGGCCCCATTTTACACTTGGGGAAACTGATGGAGAGGAGGCAAATTCACCCACCCTGGCCCCCCCAAAAGAGCCCAGGGCACTTGCAAACACAAAATCTGTCCTTTTTGATTTTTTTTCCCCCAAAAGGGTTTTGCTATGTAGCCCACGCTAGTCTAGATCATTTGATCCTCTGACTTCAGCCTCTAGGGTTCTGGGATATATGTGAGCCATTGAGCCCAACCAGATGTTTTCTGGGGAGATGAGCAGTGTACTCCAGAAAGAGGACAGCTGCAGGCAACTCATGTCAGCTGCAGAGACCAGCTGACACCCTCACTTGCAGCATGGACAGGACAGACAGCACGGTTAGATTTAGGTGTGGTAGTGTTGGGACTAGAACCCAGGGACTCCTACATGCTGACCAGTGCCCAACACCAATTCATGCCTTAGCCCCTTGGATTCTGGGCTGTCACTCTACCCCTGAGCCACATCCCAGCCCCTCACTAGGGAATGCTAGGCTGTCACTCTACCTCTGAGCCATGCCCCCAGCCCTTCACTGGGGGACTCTAGGCTGCCACTTTAACCCTGAGCCACGCCCTCGGACCCTCATTGGGGTATGCTAGGCTGTCAGTCTACCTCTTAGCCATGCCCCAGCCCCTTACTGGGGGATGCTAGGCTGTCACTCTACCTCTGAGCCATGCCCCCAGCCCTTCACTGGGGGACTCTAGGCTGCCACTCTACCCCAAAGCCACACCCCGGCCCCTTACTGAGGGATCCTAGGCTGTCACTCTACTCCTGAGTCACGTCCTAGCCTCTCACTGAGGGATCCTACGCAGGGGCTCTAACACCTCCTTGGGGATTATAGGCAGGGGCTCTGCTCGAGCCACACTCTTCGTCTGCTCACTCTGTCTCTGAGCCACACTTCAGCCCCTCAATGTGGGATTCTAGGCTGTCTGTCTACCTGAGCCACCTCCAGCCCTTCAATTACAATCTGACGGAAAGTTTGATAATCTGTAAACCCGTCCATTTGCTTATAGGCCTGTCACTGTCCTGAGGGTGACTTGTCCTAGAAGTCTTGTGTATGCCACACTCTTCTTTCCCAGGACCAACCAGGGGGTCTGTGTGTCTCTGCATCTGAGTTTTCCAGAAAATGGAACAGCCAGAGCAGCCACCAGCAGTCCTGTGCCTTCGCCCCATAAATTCAAATGAGGAAGGGGGACATAGGGACAGTGGTCCAATGCACAATCACTAGTTGAGCTTGAGGCCAATCTGGGCTACATGAGACTAGGTTTCCCCTCCTCCAAAAAAAATTTAAGTAAAGCCATTGCAGAAGTGAGGAGACAAACTATGTCTTGTTTACGGGGGCAAGAGCTACAGGTGCAAAGATACCAGGACAGCATGGCTGTGCAGAGGCCCTGAGATAGGATGGAGCCTGGTATGTGGGAGAATTCCCTTGATCCTGGAGCAAAGCAGTATCTGGGAACAAAGGTGGGAAACCTGGGGGCCAGGTGAACTTTGGAAGTCTTTGTCAGAGAGCATCAGAGAGGGATGCAGGGTAGGTAGTCACTAGCTGACCCTCACCAGTCAAGTGCCCGTCCCTGCAGTAGACAGGGATCTTTCTCAGATCTGTGGGGCACCAGTCCAGCTGGTCTGAAAATGTGGTAGGACCATAGCTGGGAAGGGGAAGGGCAAGAAAACTGGACATAGCTCCTCCCCTCTGAGGCCAGCCCTACCTACCCAGGCCAGCCCACGTATGTGTGTGGGGAGTAGAAGTGACAGAGGGGTCCATCAGTGTCCCATGGGTAAAGCTTGTCCTTTACCCCCTTCTACTAGTTTGACTTCACCCCAGCACACAGGAGGCTAAGGCAGGACGACCAAGCAGTTCAGGGTCATCCTTAGCTACCCAGTCAATTCAAAGCCAACCTGGGCTCCATGAAACCTTGATGGCCCTCCACCTTCTTTATTTTGAGATACAATCTCCCTATGTAGACCAGGCTGGCCTCGATCTCACAGAGATCTGCCTGCCCCTGCATCCCAAGTGCTGGTGTTAAAGCCATGTGCCACTACACCTATACCTGGCTCTACTTTCGACTTCCAGGACCACTGCACAACGCGGGTGCACTTACATCCATGCAGACAAAACACTCATACACATAAAATAATTTAAAATTTCTCTCTATTATTTGCTTTAGAGCAAAGAGCCAAGTTTGAGATGAGTAGTGTTCCTAGTAATAGGGCAATGGTTGTGTGTCAGGCACCGGAAATAATGCTGCCAGGCCGGGCTAGGCATCTCTGCATTGCCAGGTGGCCACTGCTTAGGGGAACCCCCAGGCCTCTTGCCCACGTAACAGCTGCAAGCTCCCAGCTTCGAGGCAGCCCAATAGCCTCACCCTGGTACAGTTGGCCACCTCTCCCCTCCTCAGGGTACCTTCCTCACTGCCATCCCGTGGCACAGGGTCCTGGCCTCAGCTGACCCTGAGCCCCACTCTCCTGGTGTCACTTTTGGTGGGTGTAGTGTCCCCATGGCCCTGCCTAGCCAGGGAAGCCACTTATCCTGGCTCCAGCCACGGGGAGGGGGGGACCTTTAGAAACTGGCTGCACTTTGTGTGGAAGGTTTGGGGGTAATTTTTTTGAGCTCTCTCTGCACCCTATGTCATAAAAGACCACTAAAGGAGGTCCCATGGGACAAAAGTGACCACCTACTCATACACAACCAGGTCCTACGCCACTCTAGGATTTGCTGGGTCCGTGGCCTACAGTAGGTGCTCAATAAATACTCACTGTAGGAATTCAAGACTGAGCAGAGGGGTCTGGAGGTTGCAGCTGCAGACCACTGGCTTCCAGTTCCCAGCCATAGATGATACCCAATGACAGACCACTGTGGCAAGGACAGGAAGCAGAAGGGACACCCCACTGGTGAGGGTTTGTTGAGTGACTATATGGCCCCTCTGCAGACACTTTTGATGTGCAAAGCCTGAGATGAATTTGTAGCATAGGCAGGAGCCTGAGGTCAGAAGGCCCATTGGTTCTCCTACCTGCCTGTCAACCTCACATACTTCCTGTCCTGGTCCCACACAGGGTCCATCCCCCTGGTGGGAGGTAGGCCTAGATTAGGAGGTGGGAATGGAGGGGATCTCTGAGGCTGCCACTCCACCAGGGTAACCCTGAGTCTCTATCTATGCCTGAATGAAATGGGGATGGGAGGGGTGGTCCTCTTCTTTTTCAAGTTATTGTAAAATGAACTGAATAGGACTTTCAAAAAATGGATAGACAGCTAGGTGGGCATGGTGGCACACACCTTTGACCCACATGGTAGGGGCAGAGGCAGGCAGGATCTCTGAGATTGAGACCAGCCTGGTCTACATATGGAGTTCCAGGCCAGCCAGGGTACTGAGACCTTGTCTCAATAAAATAAAATAAAATAAAATAAAATAAAATAAAATAAAATAAAATAAAATAAAAGATTGTATGAGTTTCCTGGTTGCCATGGCTGCAGGTCTGAGCTATTCATTCATTCCTGAGCTTCCTGGAAGCCAGAGGAAGAGGGAAATACTTTGAGATGGAGCCTGGTCAGTATCCTCCAGAGGTTTAGACTGGACAGCGCCGGGCAGCTAGCCGGATTCGGCTGTCCTCAGCAGGAGTCCAGGGCCGGGTGTAGCCAGCGTGGGGCAGCAGTAGCCGGTCTTGTGTACCATCACGGCTCACGTGTCGCCTGGCAGCGAGCAGATACTCTCGGTGGGGAGCCATCGGTGGGCAGGGACAGTGGCCAGGTGCCCACACATACTCTCGAGTCCGAAGCGGTGAGCGGTTTTTGTAGATGAGCAAGACACGGACCTCATAACGGGTCTCCTGGGCCTGGCGGTGGCGGTCTAGCACCCGGGCCTGGAACACTTCAGGTAGAAGGGAGAGAGGGTCAGGTGGGACCTCAGGGCTTTGGGGTCAACGGAGGTCAAGGGTAAAGGTCAGAGATCAGTAGGTAAGTGTTCAACAAGGAGTCGACTGGGATCGGATGGAGGGGTTAAGGGTCCGAGGGTCTCACCGAAGTCGCTGCTACAGTAGTGGAGGAGCCGGTGTGCACGGCCACGGGTGTCTGGGCATGGTGGGCAGGAGTCTGCGGGCAGGGGGTGGGTTTCAGCGGCACCGTACCCACCCTCTGCCTGAGCCTCCCTCGCTGTCCCTACCTCACCTGGGGCCAGGGTGGGAGCCTGGGCAGGGATGGCTACGGGGACCAAGGGGGTCTCCGCAGGCTGAGGCTCCACTTCTCGGGGCTGCGGCTGTCGTGGTCTGGGAAGCCAACCCAGGGCCTGCGCATGCGCCTGGAAGGGGCCGTAGCGCTCCCGGGGGAGCCAAAATTCAAAGTGCACCCCCGGGTTGGGCTCGAGCAGGAGCACCTGGATGGGGGAGGGCGGCCATGAAGGCTACGCTGGCGCCTAAGGCTCGGCCTCCGCCATCAGAACCCCCTCAGGCCCTGGGCTGCCCCCTCAAGCCTTCCTCCCTCCCCTCGGCCCCTTCTCCCCACAAGCGCACCTGCAGCAGCAGCCCCTGTGAGGTGGGCCCGACCGCCCGCAGCGTCTCCTGGCGGCCCTGGCGGGTGTAGACCAGCTGGGTGCCGGCGGCCTCATAGGTGCCGGGAGCGCTCAGCTCTGCGTCCCCGTTCAGCACATAGCGCCCATCGATGCGCTGCAGAGCTGGGGAGAAGCCGGCAGTTTCCCAGCCGTCCCCGCTGCAGTCACCCCCGCCCCCCTCTGCAGTGTCCCCCGCCGCCTCCCAACCCCCGTACCCAGGTGGTTCTGGCTGTGGTGGGCCACGCGGATGTGCCTGGCGCCCTCGGGGATCAGGGTCACGTTCCAGTAGCCGGAGAACGCACCTGGGAAGGAGGAAGGTTGGGGGTACGCTGGGTGCGCAGGGGTACTCAGGGATGCACAGGGCACACCGCGGTGTGCCGGGGTGCTCAAGGGTGTACAGGGATGCGAAAGGGCGCTCTGGGATGCGCTGGGTACTCAGAAGTGTGCAGGGATGCGCAGGGGCACTCTGAGGTGTGCTGGGGTACTCAGGGATAAGCAGGGACACTGGGGCAGAATGCGCTGAGAGGCTACTGCAGGGACAGAGGGAAGGCGTTAAAAGCGCATCTGCTCTGGGAAGAGCCTCAGCCAGTTCAGTTAGCGCGAGACTCAGCTTCCAGGCTCCCGCCTTCCTAAAGGGTCCGCAGCCCCGCAGGCGCATGCGCAGAGGCGGTCACCGGCGTCGCGGAACACGCGCTGCACGAACAGACACGAGTCGTTGGCGCCGCCACATTGGCCACAGCGGTCCTCGAGGGTGCCGGAGCCCAGCAGCCCGTCACAGCCGGCGCTCTGCGGGGACAGGGCTTCAAGGCTCCGGGCCTGCAGCGAGGCCCGAGCTGGGAACGGTGGGAGGGGTTTGGAGAGGGCGGGGCTCGGGCGCGGCCTGGGAAGGGCGGGGCTTGGGTGGGGAACTGCGGGCTGGGCGGGGAAAGGGCACTGTGTCACAGGGCGGGAACCCAGAGGGGGAACTGTGGGCGGGACCTGAGCAGGGCGGGGCCTGACAAGGGGTGGAAATTCTATATGGCCAGGAAGCAAAGGGCGTGTCACAGAGGGACACAGGGAGGGGCAGGGCCCGTGTAGGTAGGGAGTGGGGCGGAGCCTAGTGATGGACCTGGAGGAAGTAGTGTGCTAAGAAGGGGTGGAGCTAGGCGGGGCGAGGGGCGCGGACAAAATGGGAAGGTTGGAGGAGGACAGAGGGAGAAGGGGGATAGGGAAGATGAGGGGCGGGGCCTGGGAGCCAAGGCCTGGGAGGGTGCACCTAGAGTGGATTTGTGGCCACTCTAGGGGGGCCGCCCCGGTCACAAGTGGGAGGGTTTAGTGAGGGGCGGGGGCTGGTATGTGCTGCGTGGGAGATTCCAGGCCAGCTCTGCAGCTGGGCCTGGCTATGCTGAATGCGTAGGGCTGCAGGTGGGACAAGGGAGTAGATCCTGGAAGGGGTGAGGCCTGGTCAGGAAGGGTGGGGCTTGGTTGACAGGGGACGGTCTGATGTAAATGAGCAAGGACCTGGGGGTAGGGCCTGTGACTCTGCAGGTGGGCTCTGGGGGCGGGACCTGTGGAGGTGGGCGTTGCCGTGGTTCTCACCAAGCACCGGCCTGCCACGCAGAGATCCTGGGTTCCCGGGCTGCAGGGGGTGCCGTCCAGGACCCGCCCGAAGCTGTGGTAGAAGGCGTGGCCCTCTGCTAGGCAGTTGAGGTCACACAGGTTGGGTGCTGAGGGGAGGAGAGGGGAGTGAGTGCCTCCATCCGGTCGGGTTCATGTACCCATCTCTACCAGAAGCTCAGCCCCACCTCCTTGCTGCCGGCCCCGCCCCCAGCCCGCGCTTTCTTAGGCCCCGCCTCCCTCTAGGCCCCGCCTCCAGCCCCCAGAACCCTCCCTAGGGCCTGTCACCAACCTCTTCTCTCCAGACCCCTCCTCCTCCCTAGACCTGACCTACTCCTTCCAGGCCCCACCTCCACCTCACCAAGCTCTGCCCCACGTACCCGCCCTATTCTCCAAGGTGGTCGTAGTCGTCGTCGTGCGGACCCCCCCCTCCCCCGGCCCAATAAAATCTGCGTTAACATCCATTGCTGATTTGAGTCACACAGTCTAAAGTCTCTGGGGGTTGGGAGGGTGGACAGACACAGGGCGAACTGTAGTGGGACCCTGTGTGGGTGGGATGGGACAGGACTGATGGAATGTTCTTGGTTCCATAAGCCGGCTCCCTTGAATCCAGAGGCATGCTGCCTGGGGCACCCAGTTATATAACTAGTTATTTTAAGCTCCTTGCTGAAACATTTCCTGTTAGTGGGATCAGTTTGAGGACAGTTGGCCTCAGGATAAAAACTTGTCAGGGCCCAGCCTGTTGTCTGAGCATGCACTGAACTGACTGGGGCTTCGCGAACTCCTACACATCCTTCAAAGCCCCACGGCCCGTGCCTGCCTCTCTGGGCAGCCTCTTAATTCTTTCTGAGTTCTGTCTCTGCTGGTCACCACCGAGGACTAGGCAACTCACCCCCGTGGAAGGGCACCCACTGGTAGGTTTTCTGGGTGCCCAGGACCGGATGTCCATTGTAGAGAGCGCACTGTAGATCTCGGAAGGATGCAGCCCCTGGTGGGCAGTCCTGGGGGGCGGAGACGTGGGTGGTGAGCCTGGGGGACACGGGGACAGGTGGGTGAACGCTGAGGGACAGGGACAGGGTGAACCTTGGAGGGCAGGGACAGGTGGGTGGTGAACCTTGGGGGACAGGAACACTTTGGTGGTGAGCCTTGGGGGAAGGAACAGGTGGGTGGGGTTAAAGAATCTGGCAGGGGCATTTGGGGGTGAGAAATCATGAGGATGGCAGGGCAGACTACCTGCAGCCTACACACGCGGTATTCGTGGCTGTCGCCCCAGCAAGGATCTTCTCCCGGTAGCCTGCAGAAACCAGGGTGGTCTGAGCATTAGGAACTCCGCACCATCCCCAGGAACCCCCTTCCTGGCCACCCTCCGCCCCTGCAGCCCCGCCGGCATTCCAGCTGCCCCCCTGTGATGAAAGGTAAAGGGCGCGCGCGCGCGCGCACACACACACACACACACACACACACACACACACACACACCGCCTGTGTGGGCATGCGGAGGGCGCGGCGGGGAGGGGGGGGGCTCCGGTCTCACCGGACGCAACGGCGGCTGCGCACGGCGACACCCCGCCCACAGGAGCTAGAACAGCGACTCCAGGACCCCCAGGACGCCCACTCCCCGGGACCCTACTTGGAGAGAGAGAGGCTGGTTAGCCAGGAGGAGCGTGGGGGACACCCTCT